ATAGAGTTTGGTTTACAGTGTGGCTCAGCAGCTGGGAAGGATCAGGAAATGGTGTTTCATCATAATCATGTTTAAGATGTAAAATTATGAAGGATGTTAGGCTTCTTTTAGCCTAGAATGTAAAGTAGAATAAGGGTGGTGTTTGGATATGTGCATTACAGACGCCTAAGAAATTATACAGGCATTGATTTCTTTTATAGTGACATTTGTGACCTGGGTAGTAGTGAGCCTTTTCCTTTATGATTTTAGTTATACCATCTGCCTTTTAATATAAACTTCCTAAGATTTCTACTTCTGGCTTAGGTAGGTTTGGAAATGATTTCAGATCTCCCACATCCCTTCCTCCCCATCTTCTAAAATAAGACTTTGCATAATTAAGTGGTATCAGGGAGCGAGCATTGGAGTTGGGAAAACCTCCCCACTGATCCCAACTCCTTTCTGTACAAGTTGTATGGCCTTGGGAAAGTTACCCACCCTCTTACAAGCCTCAGTTTCTTGTTTTTGTGAAATGGGGATGACATTACTAAATTTGTAGTATTGTTGCAAGGATTGAGTTACTTTAAATAATATAAAATTCCAGAAACCTAGTGGTTCCCTTCCTACAGTGTCCTAAAATATAAATTCACTTCTCTCATTGGTTTCCTTCTCCTGTCTTTATTTGCTTCCATGATTTCACTTAAAGTAAACCAGAAAAACCACAGAAATAAATTATTTGGAATTTTTTGTGGCCTTTTTACTTTTGCTAAGGGGTAATTCCAAAATTCCTGTTTGGGAATATTGACACTGCTATTTGTACGCAGTGCTCTCTTCTTCCCCAGCCCACACCCCTGTTTTTTCTTTGGTGTCTGCAGAGAAGAAAGATCTCTGTGTTAAGTACATTAAAGTCTTGTAATTCCTTCTTATCATCTTGCTTATGATCTCCAGCCCCATTACCGTCTCTTTATGGCTGCTGCTAGAGCTAAGTACCTTTGGGGCAGATTGCGGTTACTTTGCACTGCCAAATTATAATGCTAAAATGAAGGTAGGCTTTGGTTCACAAGGCTACACCTAATTTCATGCTAAAATTGAGTTCAGCCTAATTAGCAAGGGAAAGCCATTAGCGGACCCACATTGTTTTGGTAAGGTGAAGTAGATGAGTGTAAGAATAAAATGCTTTATTAATTTAATTAAGCAAACCAGTGTATTAAAATATGCAGACTAATTTCAGAATCTAGTCCTTCCCACCACAGTGGGCTTCTGCCATTTGAATCTCATGATACAGTGTGAAGGCTTTCTCTTAGATCCGGGTAGCTCTTGTGTCATTTTCCTCTCCGGTCCTTCCATTCAGGCGTGCTCGGGACCCTCCGTTTGCTGCGTTGCTCAGGAAATCTGTAGGTCCGATTGTGTCAACCCCTGGCCACAGAAGCACCTCCTCAAGAACAGTCTAAAGGAAGGCTGGATGGTTGATGGAGTGAATGCACTGTTTCTAAGTAGTTATAGCTCATATGTCTTCTGATAGTTCCTTGGGTTTCTTAGCAGGCACGTGTCGCATTGTTGTTAAGTAAAGCCCGGTGTGTAAGTTTGACAAGTGAGCAGCGTGGCAGCTCTGCTTGCTCCCCAGCCCTGCCGCTGTCTCAGGGATTGTTTGGCTTGGCAGATGGCCAGCTCTCTGCTGTAAGATGCATTTCCTTGACAGGACGAAGTGCGGAGCCGCATTAGCTGCAAAGTTTACAAAGGTTAGCTAAACACACACAATAAATATTAATAAACAAAAAAGGCCCACCCACCTTTGACTTTGAATTCTGTTTCTGCATTCCATGTTTTGGAATCCCTGTAGTATTTGATTAATAACCAGTCTTAGGGTAATTGAGCCTTAAGTATCCTTTGCCTAAGTTAGGCTGCTCCCAGAGCCCTCATTGGCTGCTTTGGTGACTCATTGCCACAGTGGATGGAGCTCTGGAATGACTGTTTAGTTCAAGGGGTCTTATTTGCATTCTCCCTGCTTCCATGTGAAAAGGAGGGTAAATGTGCTTCTCCATGAGCTTTATGCTGACCAGCCATGTGTGTGTCTGAGAGCTCTGGAGGGGAAAGGATGTGAACAGGAATAGAGGTGCAGTGCCCTGAGCTTGGACTACCTAGAAAGCAGTCAGGCCTTGGTCTGTTGGCCTGGGCAGTTGCCTCTCTCTAACATTTACACCCTCAGCCTAGAGGGAGAGAGTAACAGTAACCTGCTGCCCCTGGAAACTGCCTATTTGGCTGGGTGTCTTGGAATTTACCAGGCCTACATTGTGGATCCTTTCCAATTCTGCACCCTGCTCACTTGAAAACATATTTGAGAACCAGTAATCTTAGACTGCTTACCCAGACCTCTAGAGAACCAAGGAAGAGAAATAACTTTAATACTATGTCCTTGAGATTGTCCTGGGGCCATTTGTGGGTGGCTGGGATTTCTGAAGGCCCTTAAAAGCCCCTCTTACTGTTATCTCTCATGCACGTCCCTCTCTTTAGGACCACATTAGGAAGAAACAAACCCTACTTGTTTGTAGGATACTTGAGTATGATAATGATCTAGAGAAATAAAATTATTCTCCATAGATAGTAATGATTTTAACTTGAAAATTGTCTCTAACTCCACTTAGCAAAGCAATCCATTTAGGCTTGGGTGAACTCTTTTAATTCATTCCAACAGCAAACATTTATTGAGCACCACACACTAATCTAGGCATTTGGGATACATTTCCACCCAAAACACACCAAGATCTCTGCCTATGTGGAAAATATGTTCACATCAGAGAAGCAGATAATAAGCATAATTAACGATAAATTACATATTATGTTAAAAGGTGATACATGCTTTGGAAAAATGAAAAAACAGAGTAAGGAAAGTTGTGGGGTACTATTTTAAATGGGGCAGTCTTGGCGTGATGACATGTAAGCACTGATTTGAAGGAGACCAGTATTGGCTTAGATGAACTTATTCTAGATAGGGTTTATGAAGTTAAGTTTGTGACTCTTCTCATGTTTCCTTATACCTGGCCATGACCATTTGGAAATTTCCAGTGGCCAAGGCATGGTTCTCAAATTAACCTCAGTGGCAGAGCACCTGTAAGTCAGGCTGTGCTTTGTAGACCATGAACTGTTGATATCCTTAATTTCATCTTACCAACCAAGCACAGTTTTAGAAGATGAAATATGTCTTCTATACACATGCATTATAAAGTAGGTTTCACAAGCATATGTGAAAAATGACAACCCTCCCCCAAAAGCCAAACCATATATGATATACTGTTTTCAAGGATTTTTGTTAATATTCACTTACCACTCTATGTTTTATCATCTTTTAGCACTTGCTAGTGGACACTTGGTAGCAGGCACCATAGGTTTAAGAAAAATTATAAAAACCTGCCCTTTTGGGCGCCTGGGTGGCTCAGTCATTAAGCGGCTGCCTTCAGCTCAGGTCATGATCCCAGAGTCCTGGGATCGAGTCCCACATCGGGCTCCCTGCTCAGCGGGAAGCCTGCTTCTCCCTCTCCCACTCCCCCTGCTGGTGTTCCTGCTCTCGCTGTCTCTGTCTCTGTCAAATAAATAAAATCTTAAAAACAACCAACAAAAACCTGCCCTTTTAACCTAATTTTACCCCCGCCCCCAAACTGGGAAAACACAGCCACTCAATTTTCTCAGGAGAACATCTCAACTGTCTTCAGTGGTGCAGCGCTTAAGAACCACTCTTGTATTGTCAGACAAGAATTAGAAGTCCTGCAGACTCTTACATTTCCTCTTGAGTTCCTCATGAATCTCAGAGAAGGATTTGTGGCCATATAACTATATGCATACTTCCTGCCTGTCAAGTGGGAGCCAGAATTTCTATCAAAAGGGATTTGAGGAGATTCACAGATACTCTGTCTTAACAAATGAGTGGGATGGTTAGGGAGAAGAAACCAGAGAAATTCAGCCTGAGATAGATTTGGAAGGCAGGAATTTCATGATTTTCATTTTACTATTAGAACCTAAAATAACAGTATCTAATTGTACGCTTTTTTCCTTAGTCCTTGTACATTGCTTGGCATGTGATGATTTTTAATAAATCTTGAATTGGTGTTTCCACTCATTACTTGTTCTATCAGAGTGAGATCTGCAAAACCTAGCACATGGTGTCTCTGCCTACCAATTTTAGCTTTATCTTTCCCCCCTTCATTCTATCCCTGCTAAACCTCCCACCTCGGCCCTCTTACTGCAGACAAAAATTAAAAACAGGTTGTAGTTCTCACTGAGAATTCATTCTTTTTGACCCCAGAGCACCACTTATTTTCCTTAGCAGTAATGAATTCAAAGGATCATAACTTCCAGTGAACCTTCTCTTAAATAGTTTTTCATTCAGGTTAATGTCAAGTCTTTGTATGCTGTATCTCTGTTTTACTTCTGCTATTATCCTGCTGGTTTATCTCATAGATAGGGAGGTATTTTTCAATGCCTGAAAATATGTGTTGTTCCTGAAAAAGCTTTATGAGATTTGGATCTTTGTGAACTAAAAACAATAAGCACCTGGCTTCAGTCTGCTGTCCAGAGGGACATATTGTGTGTATAAAAGCATGAAACACTGAGATCTAAATCTGCTTCAGTGGTAAGCAGAATTGAGTTATGTGGGTTTAGCATTCCAAGATGCCAGCCTTGCGTTGGTGGTATAGTGGTGAGCATAGCTGCCTTCCAAGATGCCAGCCTCACATGGCACTGGAGCTGGGGAAGCCTAACTTTGTGGTTGCTAGGTTGTCAGGAAAAGAGAGGAGCAGTGTCAGGAAGGAGCATCTTTTTCATTTTTAAAGGGTATCACACATATAACAAGTGATGGAATAGAACCTAACCTCAGGGACACAACCTAATGGTTTAAGGGGGAAATGTCCTAAAAATTATAGGTAGCCATCAGGATGGTATTCAGTTTAGTAAACTAGCCATCAAAGTACTAGCAGGATTTTTCCCATTTTTATTTGGCGTCTTTAGTTGATTACCATGCCTTTCCTTTTCAGAGTGTTGTCCGCTGCCTGTGGCATCCAAAGCTGAACCAGATCATGGTAGGAACTGGCAATGGATTGGCTAAAGTCTATTATGACCCCAACAAGAGCCAAAGGTATTTCATAAGTATTGCCTGTTTTAGATGGATGACAACAACTGGGGGGAGGGCTTCTTTTCCCAGCCTGCTTTTATTTATTTCCCCCTTTGATGGGGATCCACCCTTTTAGAAAACGCAGCTGGCACAGAGTAAAGCCTCAAACTCCTGGTATTGTACTTTAAAGAGGATTTGGATATTGCCCTTGATCCAGACAGAATTCAAAGTGAAAGTTTCCTGGGGATTTGCAGTTCTTTAGCTGAAATATTGAGTGCAAAGGGGGAAAAAGTCTTGCCCACTTCGCATACCACCCTGGACATGGCATTAGCAGTGATACATGTAAGGGATTAACAAAGCAGGGAACTAACCACTTACAGGAAATGGAAACAGCTAGTCTGTTTTGTTCCCTTTCTGTTTGGTCTTTTATCAGGTAGTGGCTTGGATTTGGGGGGTTCTCTGCCAAGGGGACAGCACAAATTATTTCCTCTCCGACCCCATGCCCACCCCAAATGCTAGACTTAAACATCCCAGTGTGTTTCAGAAGTCTGAAAACTTCACTGGAGTCTCCATCAGTTCCTCAATTATTTTCATTTTCTTTGGGCACAAAGGCGAACATTTGTCACAACCCCAAAAGATGGTTTTGTTTCTCTCTTAAGGTACAGTACTTGATTAGCTCTTTCTTTAGAGTAAGCCTTGGTTACCTAGTATTTAAGTTCACATGCAAAATTAATTGGGCTCCCCCATAAACCTATTTTGAGATCCCACATCCTTTTTGAGGAAAGGAAACTCCTCCTCTATTTATGAATACTCGTTGTTGTAATTTGGATCTGAATAGAAACAGACAGTCCTGTCTTCCCTTGGAACTTTGTGGACTAGCTTTGGAACCCTTGCCCTATAAAATAAAGTTTTTATTGTGTTTAAGAACAAATAGGATTTTGTTTTTTAATAAAGAAATTGAAAATGCTAATGTAATTAGAATGAGAGAGAGTCTGTTTCACTTGAGAAAACGATGAGCCCCATTTGATAGCACCGATTTGGAAGCTTCTGTGTTTGGAATCTTGAAGGAATTTTTTTATTTGTATTTGCTCCTCCTGAGAGGGATAGCTCATTATTACTAAGGAGAAGTGAAATGTTCTAATCAGACTTTTGGTTAATCCCACACATTCTTGGGCAGTTGCCCTGTGGCAACACTGCCAAGCCGACTCAGTTCCAGACACTTGTACTCTTACAGTTGAGATGTGGACAAATGCCACTTGGGGTGTAGACCACCCAGGTTGCTTTCATCTGGGACATAAACTAAAATTTGAACCCTGTGACCTTCAGGGTGAAAAGGTTGGTTAATTTTATTTGTATCTCTCTAAGATCTTAAAATTTTAAGTTACTTCTGTAGATTTTTTATTTATTTATTTATTTATTATTATTATTTTTTTAAAGATTTTATTTATTTATTTGAGAGAGAGAGAGAATGAGAGAGAGAACACATGAGAGGGGGGAGGGTCAGAGGACGAAGCAGACTCCCTGCCGAGCAGGAAGCCCGATGCGGGACTCGATCCAGGGACTCCAGGATCATGATCTGAGCCGAAGGCAGTTGCTTAACCAACTGAGCCACTCAGGCGCCCACTTCTGTAGATTTTTTAAACTAGTGTTCTGTTGCCCGGTTACCTCTTCAACCCTTTCACTCAGTAGTGACCACTGACTGACAGACTTGCTTTCCCATAAATTTAATCCCTTATCACCAAGGCCCCTTCTGTTGCCATCCCTTAGAAAGTCAAGGACTTTCTAAGGCGAGATGGTGTGCACAGAGTATGTTCCTGGAAGTAATGCTTTTGACATAACTTTTTGTTTAGAAGACCAAGTAAAGAAAATAATGTGCTTTTACCCACCCCAGGGGAGCAAAATTATGTGTGGTTAAAACCCAGCGGAAGGCAAAACAAGCTGAGACTCTAACCCAGGACTACATCATCACCCGTAAGTTGTTAGCATGGTCTCTCTCCATCGTCTCTCTCCCTTCTACTGTTGTGTGGTGTTGATCTCATGGCTTTAGAGACAGAAAAAGTCTTCAGAGTCCAGGCATATACTACAAAATACCATGTGGACAGGACTGCAAGTCATGTAACAGCTAACTGCTTTAGCTTCTGTGACTCATCACAGAGACAGGGTAATTTCATGTAACTTTCAACCCAAAAGGGAAAAGCCTGTTTGAGCCTAATGCATTACTCCATAGCAGCCTTTTAAAGAATAACAGTCTGTTCTAAGAATAAACAACGATGAGTGCTGGTCTTGGAATCAGGAGACCTGGATTTGTCCAGTTCTACCAATGACTTGCAGTGTGATGTTGAACAACTGAACTTTATCAGGAGAGGGAGGAGACTAGGTGAAAGGTCTCCTTCAGCCCCCTCTGGGACTCTGTGACAACAGATCCAGAGACATTTAGATACAAAATGAACTACCTGGGGTACCAGAAATCTTACCAGACTAAGCAGCTTCTCTTGGGTTTGTCACACAACCTTGTCAGCCTGGCAGATTTGTGTTGCCCAGAGCCAGGGCCTCAGACCTCTCACAGGCAGTGGCTAGGAAGGACATCTTGGATGCAGTAGCAGTTGTGATGAGCAGATGTCCTGTGGACGTTACCAGGGTCTCGGTCTAAAGCCCAGGGGGCGCTGTACTGCTGGGTTTTTCTCCCTGGTGGTGGGTCTCCTCTAAGACCAAGTGCCCTGGAGCTTATGATCGGTAAGGAGATCCCGTGACACTTTTTGCAAGAGTAGAAGTGTTAAAGTCGGTGTCACAATCAGTCTAGCTCATGTAATTACATGCGGCCTACTTAAATTCCTCCAGTCGTTTGAAGTGAAAAGCTATTTTTCCCCCTCCTAAAAATACTGTTGTGTCGTGTTGCCCAACAGAGTGACGGGTGGCTGTGTTTCTCAGCTCCCCTGACTCAAGGCAGGCGAGTTTAACTGGTGAGTGAGATGGTCCTGGCCCAGCTGGTGCTAGGGGGAGGGGGATACTGGAAGGGTTTTTGAGGTATTTTAGACATTTCTGTCATTCATATTATAAATTCCCTTTGAACCCCTCTTAATCTGTTTCCTTCGCTCCCCTACTCCCCTGGGAAAAGGTTTTCTCTTTTAAATAGGATCCAAAGAAATTATTCTGATACAGTTTTTGGTCAAGAAAAATATCATTATTTAATTTTTTTCCCCAGTCACCTTCTTGCTCTCCTGCAGAATATCACTGTTTCCTTTTTACATTCATATACTGTTTTATATTATAAAAGTTAATTCTGACATTGAGTGAACAGCCAATAGCAATTGGACAAATACTACTCTGATTCTTATCCTTTTGTTTTGTCCACCATATAGAAGTAGGGAAAAGTCCCCATCAAGTCACCATGCCAGGAGATTCAGGCACCCCCCTGCACTCAGGGCAAACTTTATCCCAGTTTCAGTGGGAGAAGTGTTCCTCCCTTCCGGGTACTCAGTGTTGTCAACTCCTCCTGAGCGGTGGTCACATTTCAGAAACGTGTGAAGTGATTCCAGTGTTTGTGAGGTGTCCGAGGAGACTTCAGGGCTGACAAGCAAGCTGCATCATTCACATTTGGGTCCTGTAAGAAAAAAAAGAAGGAGCAGTCCCACTGAGTGTTTCATTTCAAAACCACAGAAATTAAGTTTAACTGCTACCCATGGTCCGTGTGATGGGGATCCTCACCAGTGTTTCCGTGACAGTATTTGACAGTGTTTCCTGAGCGCCATTAGTTGCAGGGGAGGTGAACAATGAATCTTGGTCTCAAACAAAATTGGCTAATCGGTTACAGTAAGACTGTCTTTTATTATTAGATGAAGGCTGCCATTATGACTTCCATTTCATCTTCTACTTAGTCATGCTTCAGCTATGTTTTTGGGTGGAAGGGTTATTATTAAAATAAAATTTTTCAAATGTGACTTCTCGTAGCTCATGCCTTGCCTATGTTCCGTGAGCCCCGCCAACGGAGTACAAGGAAGCAGCTGGAGAAGGACAGACTGGATCCCTTGAAGTCGCATAAACCCGAACCTCCTGTGGCAGGCCCAGGTGACTGTGATCTCTCCAGCTTGTGACCTGCAAAGGGGGTGGTGGGGGGGTGCGGTCACTGGTAGAGAATTGGGAAGATCCTTTGCTCCTGGTTGCTGCTTTGTCTCCAGAGAGATTTTACATGGTGGTTTTCAAACGTTCTTTTTAGTATCAGAAGTTTTTGCTTAAAGGATGCAGAATCCAGGTGCCTAAAACTGATACAAATGGAGCTGCTGTGTTAACCTAGAGAGGAAGCCTGGACCCCTTTCTGCTCGGTCTCTAACTTGAGCCCTTTTAGGTGATCTTGGTGGAACTCTAGGGCTCCTGGAACCCAGTGTTAAAGCCGCTGCTCTCAATACTGGCTTCATATACAACATTTGGGTACTTTGACCAGAATCCAGGCTGGATTAGGTTTCACATTAGGTTTCCCCTAGAGGATGAATAAAAGTCCTTAGCGTTTTTAAGAAAGTAGGTACCCCCCCACCCCAACCACCAAAAGAAAGAAAGAAAGTAGGTACCCCCAGAAGAAAGCGAGGCAGCATTGGCCCTCATACAACACCTAAAGTAACTGGAATCCCATTTTACTAGTTATCACTTGTGTGGTTTCCATTTTCCTAGGCTCCTAAGCCTGGAGCTTTTGACTCATTCATTCATCCTGAACCTCAGTTCTGGGCTTACATCTGTTTGGCCTGCCCCTTCAGCCTTGAAAACATTTCACATATCTATCTTAACTTTTTTTTTTTTTACATTTTCTCTGCCACCATTCTAACTCAAAGTTCCTAAATAATATTCTTACCTGGATTATTCAAAAGCCCTTCTAACTAGGCACCTTGTCTCAAGTCACTCTCTTTCCTTCCCACACTGCCTCTGTCCATCTTCTACACAGCTTTTATTTCCAGCTCCTCTGGCTTTCATATTGCTACTGCCCCCAAATCTTATAAGCTCCCCACTGTCCATTTGCATTTCCAGAGAATCATTCTCTGCAGTCTGACTCTAACCCACTTTAGAGCATCCCACCTCACTTCTCTCTTCCTCTGATCTGATACAACTGTCATTTCACTCCTGCCTGCAAAGGCCCACTGAATCGTCCTTTTTCTGTACTTTGGTTCTGAAACCATTCTGCTCATTCTGAAAATGACCTCTGCCTTCAGAGCTTTCTCAAATTGGATCCATCTCTTCCTAAAGAGCTCCCCAGCCACCTCAGCCTAAAGAGCTCTCTCCCTTCTCTAAGTACTATAATAGTTACTGGCCACACAAATTCTTTCACAATTAATTATTTCCTGCCTTATTTAGTCTCCTTTTATCTTGATTTATAGAATTAATCTTATAGCACAATTTGGCTCTTCGTGTGTGGGGTTTTTTTTAAGTCTTCCTAAAAAGTCATAAATTTTGGGGGTGCCTGGGTGGCTTAGTCAGTTAAGCATCTGCCTTTGGCTCAGGTCATGATTCCAGGGTGCTGGGATCGAGCCCCGCATAGGGCTCCCTGCTCAGCGGGAGGCCTGCTTCTCCCTCTCCCTCTGCCTCACCCCTGCTGTGGTCTCTCTCTCTCTCTCTGACAATTAATAAGATCTTTAAAAAAAAGTCATACATTTTTGAGTACCAGGCACCAGACTAGCTGTTGGGGATCCAGCAGGTTGTAAATCCCTGCCCTTACGGAGCTTTCTGTCTACTAGAGCAGTTCCAGTATCATAAAATAATGTGAATCAGTCTATTCAACTCGTTTGTTTTTTCTCCTACAAGGTACTTGGAAGATGGCAAGCCCTAAGATATGTTTGCTTAAAGCTAAAATAGGCATCTAATAAATACAGGTTAATTTTTTTTAAGATTTATTTATTTATTTGAGATAGAAAAAGAGCATGCACACGCGTGCAAGTGGCGGGGAGGGGCAGAGGGAGAGAATCCTGAGGCAGACTCTCCCTACTGATCTGGGGGCCTGCCTCAGTGCTTCACCCCAGAATCCCGAGATCACGACCTGAGCCGAAATCAAGAGTCAGCCGCTTGACTGGCTGAGCCACCCAGGTGCCCCAGTATTGGTTATTTTTATTAGTTGAATTTCAAATGTTCATGCTTGAGGGATCTCTTCAAGGCCTAAACATGGTAAAGTGTTTGTGATTCCTCCTTGCATTGGTGTCACTGTGTAGATTAAATAGCTAAGACCTATCAAAAAACCTCTTTATTTAAAAATGTTACGGGGAGGGGCGCCTGGGTGGCTCAGTTGTTGAGCGTCTGCCTTGGCTCAGGTCGTGATGCCTGGGTCCTGGGATCGAGCCCCGCATCGAGCTCCCTGCTCAGGGGGGAGCCTGCCTCTCCCACTGCCCCTGCTTGTGTTCCCGCTCTCGCTGTGTCTCTCTCTGTCAAATAAATAAGCAAAATCTCTTAAAAAAGATGTTAATAGGGAAGTTAAGGTTTGTTGATTTCCTGCTTTGGTTGTGATGATCATAAATGGAAGCTGAAGGGATGACACTGAAGTAGTCTTGAGATTTGTGTGCCTCAAGCCAAGATCTGCAGAAGCCCCGGAGCGCGCAACACCTTGAGTCCATAGGGAATGATAAAAATCGGGGAAACCTGACGCTCTGGCCTCACTCTGTTACTCATTTCACCTGCCACCTTGGAGCCAGCACTGAGGGATTCTCAGCCTTTTCAGATAAGTACAGGGTATGCTTCTCTATTGTCACGCTCATTCCAGTTCTGAGCTGTGTTTTTTCCTTGGAAACAGGTCGTGGTGGCCGGGTTGGAACCCACGGGGGCACTCTGTCGTCATACATTGTGAAGAACATTGCTTTGGACAAAACTGATGACAGCAATCCCCGGGAAGCCATTCTGCGGCATGCTAAAGCAGCTGAAGACAACCCATATTGGGTTTCTCCAGCATATTCTAAGTAAGGAAGCAGCCTTTTAAAATAGAAAAAAAAAATTATGTTTAATGAATTAGAAAGAATATAACAACAGCTACTTTGAGGTTTTAACTCTCCATTTCTTGTTTTATTCTTGAGCATGAAAAATAAGCCAAGTACTCGTAGTCCTGAACCTAGGCATAGTCCCGAACCTTAGGACTCTAAAATGGTGAATCTTTAAAGTAGGTCAATTCCATCAGTTATGGCCTAGTGTAAACCCATTATGTGAAGCCCATTCTACCTCTGATGAAAAGAAGGAAGAGCACTACCCGTATGCCTTATGTTAGTTGAGGAGGGCTCAAAGCAGATGAGGAGGAGCAGTTTGTAGGTCTGTCATTAAGGACTGCTTTGCATTTACAGAGCTATATATGTAAGTAACAGGTACATAGGCAGAGAAGAGCCCACCTGCTCGGATTCCCTCAAATAGCTCAACATGAATGAACATGTAGTGGCTCTCAAAGCCTCTAAAGCAGGTACAGTTACACTGAGAAGGGTAGTGTTATAGATTTTTTTTTTTTTTTTTTTTAGCACTTCCTTACTTTCTGATACCATAAGATGTGCCAGAGTCATCTTTGTTTTTCTTCCCCTCGTCCTGGAATCAATTACTTCTTAAGGCGCCTGGGTTTCTTTTGTTTGAGAACAATGTTTAGAAACCAAGACAGTGACGCTAGACGAGCCTGTAGCTACTGAAATATCATTGCTTCTAGATCCTCCTTTAGGTCTTCCTAGCTGACAGAACTTAGAAATATATATATGTATACTAACCCATGCTTCATTACACATACACATATGTACATGTATACATACACACACACATACATATATCTCTGTATTTACATTTTAAAAACTATGAGTTTATACTGATGCCTCTGATTTCAATACTATACCCCTGGTTTCATTTTACCTTCCTCCTTCCTGTATTTTTAACTTCTTTTTCCAATAATGAAAAACCCAGCTCTCATTACTGACAGTATATTTACTTATTTATTCACTTCTAGTATACATATAAAGTAGTTTCAGAATTGCCTACCCATACACCTGTGAGAAACATTTTCCCTAACTAGGATTTCCCTAATTGCATTTTTGTAGGTTTTGTTTGTTTTTTTTGTTGTTGTTGTTTTTATTTTGATTTGTTTTTTGTTTTTGTCCTTTTAGCCTTACAGTATGTGGTGAAGAGACTGTTTTTCACAGTTACTTGGATGAGGTATTTTCTTCTCCACTTCTGTTAGGGTGGTTATGTAATCCATTTGAAATGCAGTTAGGGTCATTTGTTAGTGTGCATTCCTTTTTTGGGTTTCCCCTATGTTCTATTTATTTTGGAGGTATGTGTAGGGTGTGCGAGATACTACTCTAGTGCTAGGAGTCAGGGCCTTAAAAAAGACTTGTTCTTCCTCCCTGCTCCCTCATTTCCATGTCCCGCTTCTCTCGGTCCCTTCCCCACTCACCCTCATAGGTAGCCTATCTCTTTAGTTTCTGGTTTACCTCTCCTGTAGGTCTCTTGCACAAATGAACAGATTTGTGAGTATTTTGTTCTACCCTCTCCTTTACATGAAGGATAGCATAATATACCCTTTCTAGCTTTGCTTTTTTTCACCTAGGATTATGCCCTAGAAATCATTCTACATCAGGTCATAGAGCTCCTTCTCGTTCTTTTTCACTGTTGCATAGTAGTCCACTCTGTGGATATATCATAGTTTGTTCAACCACTCTCCTATGAGTGGATATTTAGGTTGTTCCAGTATTTTGCAATTTCTGACAGTGCTACAGTAAATAAACTCGTGTGTATGTATTTTTGTATCATTGGAGGTATATTCGGGTTTTTTCTTGATGTCTTCATATATTATTAAAGTTTTCAATTATGAGAAAGCTGGACCCTGATCACTTTTCAGAACATTAACATGCTGGAAAAAAAATCACTTATGAGCCAACTCAATGGACATGTTATACCAGTATCAGTTCTTTTTTTTTTAAAGATTTTATTTTTTGACAGAGAGAGACAGCGAGAGAGGGAACACAAGCAGAGGGAGTGGGAGAGGGAGAAGCAGGCTTCCCACCAAGCAGAGAGCCCAATGCGGGGCTCGATCTCAGGACCCTGGGATCATGACCTGAGCTGAAGGCAGACGCTTAACCAACTGAGACACCCAGGCGCCCCCCAGTATCAGTTTTCTATCTGCTAATCATTATGAGCTACTTTGCATAAAAGAAAAACACACTGTTTTAGCTTGGTTCCTTAGAAGTAGATCCTGAGAAAAAGATTCATATAAAGGTCTTTTAGGAAGCTTTATTATTAGGATGCTTTATTATTAGGATGCCTGTTAGGAAGCATCCATAGAGAAATCCAGTAGGGGAGTAGAGAAGTGTAATGAAGCCAAATAAGGGTGTATCAAGCAAAGTTTGAGGGAGGTCCACTTTGGCTCAGTCTACAGGGTAACCCTGGAGACCCTGGGCAGAGGCATGGTAACTGGAGTACTTATACTCCAGGATCTATTGATCCTTGCTAATGGCTAGAGGTAGGGTTGGGGGAGACATTCCAAGGTACTTCCAGCTTTCTAGGGCTTTAGCAACCTGCTGACAGCCCTCTGACAAAGAGAGATAGCTGCTGCAGTTGTGAGTGAAAGCACCCCACGCAAAAATACTAAAGAGATTTGCGGGCCTCTGGTGGGGAGTGCTGCATCTCTGCGGTCCATGTAGCAGAACAGACTTGGCTCCGTAATGTCAGTGGTGGTTGTTCACAGTGTGTACTAATAACCAATCGGTACAGATGGAACATCTCTGAACAATTAGTTGGATAGTATTACAACAGCTAAGAGGGTCATATCAAGGCTGGCCAGCTAACTAGTATGCATTTAGCCTTCTTTTGTATAGAATTTGTGTGTGTATGAACTAATGTATGTCAACACATCATTGGCAGTCAGATAAGCTTATAGATTATGCCTCTGTTGACACTTCTGTTTTTAATGGAGTCATTATTTTCTATTACTATTAGGGGTTTTTTATACTTAAAGAAACTTGTTTAGAAACATACAAAAAAATTAGCTGAGGAAAGAAGAAGAAACAGAGCCATGTTTTAAAATTTGCTAAACATAGTGAGCATCATTTGGATAAATTTGGCACTATCTCTACAAATTTAAAATGCAAATACCCTTTGACTTGGCAATTCTATTTCCAGAAGTTTTGCACATGTAGGAAAATATGTATGTCCAAAGATAATAAGTTCAATATTGTTTTGTTTTGTTTTGTTTTTTTAGATTTTATTTATTTATTTAACAGAGAGAGAGAGAGATAGGGAGAGCAGGAACACAAGCAGGGGGAGTGGGAGAGGGAGAAGCAGGCTTCCCGCCGAGCAGGGAGCCCGATGTGGGGCTCGATCCAAGGACCTGGGGATCATGACCTGAGCCGAAGGCAGACGCTTAACGACTGAGCCACCCAGGCGCCCCAAGTTCAGTATTGTTTATGAAAGCAAAAGATTGAAAACAATATAAATGTCCTTCAATGGGGTATTGTTTTAGAAAAGTATAACACATCCATATAATTAAAGATAACAAGAAAATACAAAGAATGAGCTACATGTATAGGGATGGATGTGTCCCAGTTTCCTTAAGTAGAAAACTGACCAACAAGCAAAAACAGAAACCAGCTTGCAAAACATGCTGTCTGTATACCTGTGTTTTTACACAGTGGATGTACCTACACATATATCTGATCGTTTATACACAGACTCCCTCTGGGAGGAAATACAAGAAATGTGGGTGGTGGGTATCTTTTAGGTAGGAGAACAAAGGAGCGGGGAGGGGTGCGGGGTGGAGGGGCGTGAGGTGAAAGGGGCCTTCGAAGTTCTGTAGTCTGCCCATTAGTGCTGCTGGATTTTTTTCACTGTGCATGTAGTCCTTATAATCTCAGGCATGAAAATCACATATGATGTTAAAGTTAGATCCTTCATCAAAATAATTAGTTGTTAGAAATTAGAACAATAGCCTAGAAGTTCTAAGGCCAGCTTCCTGGCCTGGGTTCTAGCAAGGACTTACTATCCAGTAGGTCCTAAAAGTTATCTTCTCAGTGTCTCGTTTTCTTCAGTGGTAAGTATGGTCTTTGACACCTTCCTATAAATTATATATTGTTAATATCACTCAATAATCAGCAGTATTATTTCAGTGTTTATGGAAATACTTCAGTAATTTACTTTGCATGTAAACACACACAAACCTATTAGGAGCAGTTTGCTATCAAATGTATTTTAATGTAATCAGATTTAGGAATTTTTTCTTTCTTGGGTTTTGGTTTAGTTAGGAAGGCCACTGCATTCAAGATAATTCTTCAGATTCTCCCATCTTTCCATTAATATCTTTTTCTTTTAGAGTTAAATCTTTTATTCACCTGAAATTATTTTAGTGAAGGGAGTGAGAAAGGCGTATTCGTTTCCTGTGGCCACTGGAACAAATTACCACAAACATGGTGGCCTGAAAAACAGAAATGAATTCTCTCACAGTTCTAGAGTCCAGAAGTCCGAAATCAAGGTGTCACGGGGAGCCACACTCCATACAGAGGCTCTAGGGGAAATCTGTTCCAGGCCTCTGCTAACTTCAGAGGTTGCCTGCTAGCTTGGCTTGGAGTCACGTTGCCTCAGGCTCTTCTCAGTCCCCGCTTTGCCTCGTGGTTTTTGTTGGTCTCCTCTGGGATACCCATGATGTCATTTGGGGCCCACCCAAGATAATCTAGGATTATCTCCTCATCTTAAAATCCTTAGTCACATCTGCAAAGACCTTTTTTCCAAAATAAGGTCATATTCTCAGCTTCTAGGGATTTAAGGTAGATATTTCAGCTACCACAGTAGAGCTCCAATTTAATTTTTTCCTCTTGGTTAACCAGTTGCTATAACACTTTTTAATTGGATAATCTAGTTTTCCTCATTGAATTGAAATCACATCATTACACACACTGCACTTCCATATGAATTTAAACCCATTTATGGGCTCTCTGTTGTGCTC